TATGTTAAGAAAATGCAGTTGGACCTAACTCATCCCTACACAACCGGCTTGTAGGGTGAGGATTGCCCTCACTTATAAGGACATGTTCAGGCTATATATTATCCAATATGAGACTCTAACAGACTCAACTCAAAATTGTAAGTACAACTAATCTATACGCTTTCATATGTTTGGATGAGCATGGAATGGGTTACATTACATCCGTCTTTTACCCAGTCCAAAATTTAATTGGGCCAAATATCTAGACATGAAACCGATCCTAAATCCAATGATATATGAGGTGTAATTAAGACCATATAAGTAGTACACAACCGAGTTGACTCAAAGTATAAGGTAAATATTATAGGATGATCATATGATCATTCATATATTAATATTCCAAAGGAAAATAGTTCAGACAATTGGTAAACATGTCATATACATTAGGATTTCTTTGCAAACGACCAACTTTCCTAAGGGTGTACATTTTAGGTAGAGTCCTTGGAATACTTTTATGTAGACACATCCTACTTTCTTGTTGGTATGGTGAATTAGTGATGTTTGCATCTTGGTTTGGTATATGTGTTGTTGCCCGCTTCTTTTATAGTATGTCCATGCAAACTGGTGGAAATGTAAATCTATAACTTCTATTATAAACTTATCATGTTTACTTCTACACTGACTGAGGTGTTGGGAACGGAGATTGAAGTAAAACTCCCACACTTTAGTAATCTAGTTAAATGGTTAAGTGAATATTAATCAAGTATTCATATTCTCATCTTTGAGAGTGGTTTGCTCTATGTCAATAATGGCTGCTATAATGTGTTGCGTACCCTTAGGAACTGTGCAAAAACCCATTCTGTTGTGGTTGTAGCACCATCAATAACATCCAGACGCTTCCCAAATAGTGGCTGAAGCTGCCAGTACAATGAAACTCTTGTAATTTATTATTTTTATTTTTTAGAACTTTTTTGGGTCATTTCATGCAAAACAGCCGGGTTTCCCCCCTAAATTTATAGCGCTATTCCCTCTGTTTTTAAAGACTTTATGGTCATTTCATCTTAAATTTGGAATGCCATCAAAACCGGGCCTCCCTGTCTAGTCATTTCCTTCTCCGAAACAACTTCATCTCCCCTCTCAACTTCTGCTTCTTTTTGGATATCTGTAGCTTTTGGCAGCCCTTTCTGGCGACCATCTTTATTCATTACTTTGGAGATAGTGAGTTCATTAAACGAATCACTTTTGTTTATTTTAAATGCTTAGAAGATTTACTTTAAGCTTTGGAGACTAAAACTTGCTTTATATTTGGATTGAATATTGTCAGCAATGAACTTTGATTATTAATTATGAATATGTCTTTAATGTTGTGTATTCTTCTATTTTTAAGTTTTCTGTATGTATGGTATGGGTTTCTTGTAATCTTTCCCTAAATTTGGACGTAGCGGCCTTACTGCTAACCGCTATACCACTATAGCGCTTTGGGGGTTAGCTGCTTCGCCATGCTATCCACCATTGATACTGTTAAGAGTCCCACATCAGACAATATATGGCCTGAACACGAGTTTATAAGTGGGAGTAATCTTCACCTTACAAGCCGGTTTTGTAGGGTTGAGTTAGGCCCAACTCACATTCTAAGAGATACTAAGGGTTTGCTGGGTTAAAATCAAGATAATCAAACTTCTGGATACACTAATGAAAGGGTTGACAAGATATCTTCCAAGACTGAAAACGAGAGGAAATAAACAACCCTTTCAAAGATGCAATGTGTAGTTGTCAACTCTCTCTTTATGACATAAGTGGAGGCATGGAAGAGGGCGAGACATATCTAAAGATATCACCAATCTTTTCCTACCAAACACATGATGTACTTACATAAACCATATACTGTTGATAAAAAAAACCATATACTGCCACAAAATTTTGGCTTGAGCAGTGGGGGTTAATATTGGGAAGCTGCTTAGAACCTGAAAGGAAACCTTGTTAGAGAAAGGAGGAAAAGAAGTATGCGAACAGTATATATGATAAAGCAACAAACCAAACATGTAATGAAAAATAATATGCTGCTTCAGCTTTTAAGACTTCCTGCCTAGTAAATTGACCGCAATACACACATATCATCATTGTTGTCAGAATCGCGATCAAAATTGTGAAATTCATGGATTTTGCTCACCCTAAACAATTTGAATCGTGAGTAGAATCCTAGTTCAGAGCAAAATCCCAATAAAATCGCACAAAATCGCTAAATCGGCAAAATCCGCGACCTCATATGGATTCCACCGATTTTGGGCTTTTTTTTGGGTAATTTTAGAATGGATAAAGACGACTTGTTTCAGTTTTGTGACTCGGTTTTAACCCTTTTTATTTAAAAAGGGGGAAAACCCTATTTTATTGATATTCATTTGACGTTTGCGCTTCTACATCAACTGTGTTTCTTTCTCCTTGAAGTCTTCAATACTAATGGTACTACTAGTGCTACATTCATTTGATGCATACTAATGGTACTACTAGTGCTACATCACCTACACTTGCAGATAAATTTGATATTGCTGAAGATATAGAAGAAAGTGACAACGAAGTTGATGATGGAAGTGGTGCAAGAGGTGGTGATGATGATGATGATGATGGCGGCGGTGGTAGTGGTGGTGATGAATCATTGTTGTCAGAATCGCAATCAAAATCGTGAAATCCATGGATTTTGCGATTTTGCTCACCCTAAACGATTTGAATCGTGAGTAGAATCCTAGTTCAGAGCAAAATCCCAATAAAATCGCACAAAATCGCTAAATCGCTAAATCGCAGCAAGATCCGCGATCTCATATGGATTCCATCGATTTTGGGCTTTTTTTGAGAAATTTTAGAATGGGTAAAGATGACTCCTTTCAATTGTGACTCAGTTTTAAGCCTTTTTATTTAAAAAGGGGGAAAACCCTATTTTATTGATATTCATTTGACATTTGCGCTTCTACATCAATTGTGTTTCTTTCTCCTTCAAGTCTTCAATACTAATGGTACTACTAATGTTACATTCATTTGATGCATACTAATGGTACTATTAGTGCTACATCACCTACACTTGCAGATGAATTTGATTTTGCTGAAGATATAGAAGAAAGTGAAGTTGATGATGGAAGTGGTGCTAGAGGTGGTGATGATGATGATGGTGGTAGTGGTGGTGGTGATGATGATGGTGGTAGTGAAGATGACAATGTTGACATTGTGAGAGATGATTCAACTAGATGCGCATTAGTGATTTAATTTAACATCCAGGCTTTAAGTATTTTGTTTTATATTTAAGATTTGAAACGTGGTTGTTTTATGATATATATATATATATATATATATATATATATATATATATATATATATATATATATATATATATATATATATATATATATATATATATATATATATATATATATATATATATATATATATATATATATATATATATATATATATATATATATATATATATATATATATATATATATATATATATATATACTATACACTATTATGAGTTGAATCCATCGATTTTGGTTGCGATTTTCGATTATACGATCTTGATTTCCCCTTTCAATTCAACAAAACGATTTGTGTAGAATCCACCGATTTTGGTTGCGATTTACGATTTTTCGATCTTACTATCCTCTTTCGATTCAAAGTAAACTCTCGATTCTGACAACCTTGCATATCATGACTGAATTTAAGTGATCTATCTGTTGCACTTGCACACGTAAAAGTTTAAACTCACGATGCCTGAAAAACTTCTTTTTATTATTGACACATGTTGCAGGTTAGGTCGTACATCTGAATTCTTAATATATGGACAATGGCAACAGCGAAACGCAATTATTGAGGCCACCCGATTATTAGAAAATGAAATATGTAAACATAAAAATGGTGAGTTGTTGATTGGAGAAGCGTCCGATAGTCTAAAGACCCCTAAACAATTCAAGGATAAGGCGAAGAAATGGCAAAATTTTGTGACTCAGGTGTGTGATTCTTTTTAAAGAGAAACTCATTCTAAACTTCCTATTCAAACAATAAACTGACGCTTAATTTACGAAATCTACATTAGCCTACCTCGATTGCTATGTAATTTTATGATTATGTTTACAAAGATGTTTTTATAGAAGGGATGGTATATACTAGAAATTCATCTTGCAACTACAGTTCGTATCACTGCATCATCAGGTCATCTCGTGCTCTAGTTAAGGAATTACTATTGTGATTTTAACCCAGGCACATAATTCCAGTGCACTCCTCTATTTTCTTGTTGGTACTCTGTCCATAAAATATCCATAAGAGCTTAGCCTTATCACTTCAAGGGACAAAATTCAAAGACATGGCAAAATAGCCGTCAGTGTCACTTTATTAAATAGTAATTTCCCCTTAATTTTTTAATTATTTTTTATTGTTATTATTATTTTTAGTCGGTACTAGAGTGGGAATTTGACATGTCTCAGTGCATGACCTTAAACTGGTAGCACATTCTGGGCATACTTCAGTAGTGCCAATGCAAACCTTTTGTGGAGAATATTCCTGGTTGATGAGTTAAGTGTAGAAAAAATTGTAAACTTGAATTTCAAAGAGAAATTTTGGAATCAAAGGGTTTACCACGTACCTGATGCATGTGTAGTGGTTGAAGATGTGAATGAAACAGATTTTGATAAACACAGGGGATCCTTGCTCACTGAGATCATGAAAATTGAGATATTCATGGAAGCCAAAGTAAAATAAAAAACATTTCAAAGCAAATCAACCACAGAAATTTCGGGTAGAGTTACAAGGAAGAGATCTCAAAGGCAATCAGAGACGAGAAAGGATTTCATAAAAGGTGAAAAATCGAGAGAATAAGATGAAACTTGCAAAAGTGATTTCAGGGCTACGAGTTCGGTGGTGGAACTGAAATTTTGAAGTTGTGATTTGGAGAAATAGATAGTGGTGTTAGAATTATGAAAGAAGATGAAAATAGAGGAATTCTGTTATTGTATTCCTTGAATGATTGAGATACAATTGATACCTATATATAGGTAAGAGATACAGCTAGACTGTAACTAACAGCTGTGACAACTGGACTTTAGTTAGTTACAACTGAAAAGCCCTATTACAATATATATATATATATATATATATATATATATATATATATATATATATATATATATATATATATATATATATATATATATATATATATATATATATATATATATATATATATATATATATATATATATATATATATATATATATATATATATATATATATATATATATATATATATATATATATATATATGTACAACTCTTTTATTTAGAACTTTTTCTCTAACAAAGAATATATCCAATTCCATGTGTTTGGTCGTGTTATGGAGAACAGGGTTATGGGCCAAAGTCACTGTGCTGAGATTGTCACATAGAACTTTAGGGGTCTGAAAACTGCAATGAAGTTCAGTAAGAAGAGATTGAGTCCACAACATTTCTGCAGCCAGTTGAGCCATGCTTCTATACTCTGCCTCTGCACTAGATCTTGCAACCAATTGCTGCTTATTTGACCACCAAGAAATTAAGTTAGGGCCTAGAAATACACAAGCTCCTGATGTTGACCTTCTATCATTTGGGTCTGCTGCCCAGTCAACATCACAAAAACCCAGCAGGGACAATGGCTGATGCTTAGGGGCAGGCTGAAGCAGTAGGCCATAGTGAAGAGTGCCACTAAGATACCTAAGTATTCTTTTCACTGCTTTCCAATACTCCTCCAAAGTATTGGACAAAAACTGGCACACTTTATTGACAAAATAGGATAGCTCAGGTCTGGTTAAAGTGGCATACTGAAGAGCACCAATAATGGATTTGAACTGTGTTGGATCTGAAATTGTGTCAGAGCCAAATTTGGACAGTTTGCTGCTAGATATCATAGGTGTAGGCATTCCATTAGCAGTAGACATATTTACTTTTGCAAGTAAATCACTAACATATTTGGTTTGAGAGAGAAGAAGGGAGCCATTGGGCATGTGAGTAACTTCAACGCTAAGGAAATAGTCCAGTTGCCCTAGGTCCTTGAGAGCAAACTTACTGTTAAGGCTCTTAACTAGGCTAGCAATGAAAGATGGAGAATTCCCAGTGATGATTATATCATCTACATAGACCAAAACCATAATAGTTAAACTGCTAGTGTGGAGAAGGAACAAACTAGGATCACACTTGCTAGCCTTAAAACCATGCTGCACCAAAGAACCCTTGAGCCTATCAAACCAGGCCCTGAGGGCCTGCTTTAGACCATACAAGGCTTTATTGAGCCTGCAAACCAGAGACCTGTCAGTTGCTTCGAAACCAGGTGGCTGAATCATGTACACCTCTTCCTCAAGAACACCATTGAGGAAGGCATGATTTTGCTTGATTGACCACTGATTAGTGACTGCAAGGGTGAGCACTGTTCTGACTGTCACAAGTTTTACAACTGGAGAAAATGTCTCAGTAAAATCACTACCAGCCTGCTGATGAAACCCTTTGGCAACCAGTCTTGCCTTATACCTATTAATTGAGCCATCAGGATTCTCCTTAATCCGAAAAACCCTTTTGCAGCCAATGGGCCTTTTAGAAACAGATGGAGACACCAAAGTCCATGTCTGATTTTTCAAAAGAGCCTGATATTCATCTTGCATAGCTTCAAACCAGTGAGGGATAATCAAGGCTTTGTTTAACTGATGTAGGTTCCACATGAGTTAGGAGAAGTGTAAGATTAAGCCTAGGTTTGACAATACCACTTTTGGCTTTAGTGTGCATAAGGTGGATATTTTGAGGATGGATAACAGGAGGCATAGAGACAGGACTAGCAGTGGAATCAGAAGAAGGTAAGGAAGAAAAAGAAATAGTACTTGCTTTTGCTAAGTCAGAGAAAGCAAAATTAGGTGAATGTGAGTCAGGCTGAGAAAGATTGAGTTGGTTGTAGGGAGACACTGAACCTGACACATTAGGGTTATTAGTAGTTGCAGGAAGTGAGTGATCAGGTTCATTGTTTGACTGCCTAATAGTAGAAGAGGCAGCAAAACTGACAGGTGAAGACTGTCTATCAAAGGAAGTGACAGCAGAACTGACATGGTCCAAAGGAGGAATGTGATGGACAGGAGGAAGGGAGGCAGCAGATTGGAACCAGGACATAGCTGAGGGAGCACTAGAGGAAGGATTAGAGGAAGTATTATGAGTAGAGGCGGGGGTTGGGAAAAGGTCCAGATAGGGAAATCTGGACTCATGAAATAGCACATCCTTATATATATGTATATATATATATATATATATATATATATATATATATATATATATATATATATACGGCCATCTGCTGCCAGACATTTGTGACCTTTATGGACAGAGGAGTAACCTAAAAACACACATTCCCGGGATCTAAAAGCAAGCTTGTGTGAGTTATAGGGGCGAAGAAAGGGGAAGCAAGCACACCCAAACACACAAAGACTAGAGTAATCTGGTGATTTGTGCAATAAATTGAAGTAGGGTGACTTGTTTTGGAGGGAGGGACTGGGCAACCTATTGATAAGATAGGCTGCAGTGACAAACGCATGATCCCAATATTTAAGAGGCAACTTGGAATGAGCAAGCAAGGCCAGACCTGTTTCTACTATATGACGGTGTTTTCGTTCAACTATACCATTTTGATGATGAGTATAGGGACATGTAAAACGATGGATAACACCCAATTCAGTAAGGTACTTGGTGAAGGGTTTAAATTCACCACCACCATCACTTTGAACAACTTTAATTTTACAGTTAAACTGAAGCTCAACCATGGATTTGAAGTGAATGAATTGGATAAGAGTGTCAGATTTCAGCCTAAGAGGAAACACCCAGACAAATCTGGAATAAGCATCAACACATGTGAGAAAGTAGGAATAGCTGCCTGAGGATAGAATGGGTGCAGGGCCCCACAGGTCACAAACAACAAGTTCAAATGGATGATGGTAGATAGTGGTGGACAAAGATGAAGGGAGTCCGTGAGACTAACCCAGGCAACAGGCAGAACATAAATCAGGGGAAGGTTTGTGAGGGATATGGATGTTACAGAGTTTGAGGACTTCTGTAAGGGCATGATGATGGGGAGTCCAAGTCTTGTATGCCATAAAACATACTTGCTATTTGATATAGTATTAGGATAGTTCATAGATTGATATGAGTTAGGAATGTTAGATTGAGAAACATGAGCAGCAGGATGAAATTGACTGTGGAAAGTAGTAGCACTTTTATTAATGTGGGAAACAGGATTACAAGTAGAGAAACAATTGTGTTAAGAGTCCCACATCGGATAATATATGACCTGAACATGTGCTTATAAGTGAGGGCAATCCTCACCCTACAAGTTGGTTTTGTAGGGTCGAGTTAGGTTCAATCACACATTCTAAGATGGTATCAGAGCTCGGTTTAAGATCTGTTGGGCCACTCCGCTATCATGCAACCCACCATTTAGTTCCGCGCTCCAGACGTTCACCCTGGGTGTGAGAGGGAGTGTTAAGACTCTCAGTCAGGGGGAGCCTCTATCTGATCCAGAAAGATATATGAGATTTGTTGGAAAGTTGAATTATCTCACAGTCACTCGTCCAGACATTTCTTTTGCAGTCAGTGTGGTAAGCCAGTTCTTAAATTTCCCTTGTCAATAACATATGGATGTTGTTATCCGGATTCTGAGATACATCAAATGTGCTTCAGGAAAATGTCTTGCGTATGAAGACAAAGGACATACTCGGATAGTTGGATACTCCGATGCTGATTGGGCAGGATCACCCATTGATAGATGGTCCACCTTTGGGTATTGTGTACTTGTTGGAGGAAACCTTATATCTTGGAAAAGTAAGAAACAAAACGTAGTTGCAAGATCGAGCGCAGAGACAGAGTATAGGGCCATGGCGATGGCAACATGTGAACTTATTTGGTTAAAACAATTGCTCAAGGAATTTCAAATTGAAGAAGCAAAACCAATGACACTTATTTGTGATAATCAAGCTGCATTGCACATTGCTTCAAATCCGGTCTTCCATGAGAGAACCAAACATATTGAGATAGACTGTCACTTTGTCAGAAAGAAGATCGAGTGAGGCGACATAGCCACAAACTTTGTCAACTCAAATGATCCATTGACAAATGTGTTTTACAAAATCACTTCAATGCCCCAAAATCAATTATGTAACAAGTTTAGTGCATTTGACTTATATGCTCAAGCTTAAGGAAGAGTGTTGATAATTATGTATATAAAGAATATTCTCTAGAATATTCTCTAGTGTATTCTAGAATAGAATAGGATATCTATGTAATTAATATTAGGATTTGTATTTTTCTCCTATATAATGCATCTTCTGCTGTGCTTTCAGTCACACAGTTTAACCTAAATGCCTCTTAGTATTTCCAAATTCAACACTTTCCATGGTTTTCTGACCTGAATAATAATCTAAAACTACTTCATTTCTGCATGTTTCCATGACTAATTCTTCATATGTGGCATTTGTGTTGACTAATGAACAACTTATTTGGACTTATCTACTAGCATAAACACTTGTGAGAGTAGTTGATAGCTTATAAAAATAGCTTATGACATGTCTATAAGTTATTTTCAGTTTATTTTAGTAAGGCTATTCTCATGGATAGTTGACCAAAAACAATTTACAACCTATCTCAAAAGTAGTATATATAATCAATTATCTTGCAAGAATTTACTCTAAACTGTATTTTTGACCAGCTCAGTATTTACATAATGCAACCTAAACCTATCTTGTATCTATACCGAGACTCTACAGAACACCTCGAAATACATAAAAAGTCTCTGTGATGTTATGAAACTTGATATAATTGTGCATTTCTTAATGCCTATAATATATATCTCTCTTTGTCGGTTGTAGCTTCTATTTGCTCAAAATGCTTGTTCAATCCCTCATTTTTTTTCTGTAGTTAAATTTTAGCTTGGTCATATGCAATAACTGTACACTGTTTCAGGCCAAAGCCTCAGGAAGAACTTCTGCAGAATTTCGTGAATTGGGCAATGAAATAGGAGTAAGCTGCTAAAGAGTTTTCCATATGTGTGTGCACACACAAACACACATCCTTGTTCTGCTTTCATATCTCTGATTCTATGCTCTGGATTGTAATCAGGCAGAAATTCTTGAGAATTACAGTAACATATTAAAATCATGTAATGCTCTGGATTATCATGACTTGATCAGCTGTTCTGTGAAGCTACTCACTGATTTTCCTGAAGGTAAATATTTTCCAAAATGTTAGATAAAAATTAACTACAATCTATTCATCTTGTTACAGTCTGTGGTTTCAATTTTTGTTTGTTCAAACTATTTTGAAGTTTTCAGAGAAAGTCAGGATTCATGGAAAGCTGTTGTCATAGATGAGTTCCAAGATACTAGTGCCATGCAATACAAGTTTCTAAAAATTCTTGGATCCCATAATAAAATAACAATTATTGGTGACGATGATCAGGTCTTAATATTTCTTCTTTATCCCTAATGTATGAGATGACTGGCTAGATATCAGTATTGTTTTCTCTCTGAATTAAAAGACCATCCTAACTACTGGTCTCATGTCTTATTTTCCTTACAGTCCATTTTCAGTTTCAATGGAGCTAACATTTCCGGATTTATTTCCTTTCGTAATGATTTTCCAAACTACAAAGAGGTTTCTCTTGTCCTTCACAGATTATGATTTTTATGCTAAATGCTTAATTTTTTTTGGTTGTGCCTGACCCACACAGCCATATTAAATGTCTTCATTGGACATCACCTACTTTTGTTTTGTTCAGATCAGGCTTAACAAAAACTATAGGTCCACACGTTACATTGTCGAGGCTGCATCTGCACTTATTCAAAATAATGCCAAGCGATGTCAGTTGAAGAATGTTCTTACTGATAACTCAATTGGATCAAAGGTACATACATCTTGCAGTGTGCTGTTTTTAAAAGTATGCCAAGCTCTACTGTGATTTTCCTTTTTATATACAATGATTTTTGCAATAACCTGCAGATAGTTATGAAGGAGTGTCACAATGAGGATGCACAATGTGCATTTATTGTTGACAAAATCTCAGAAATTTTATCTAATCGTTCAGCAGATAACTGTTCGTATGGAAACATTGCAATTCTCTACCGTAGGCGGGTGATGTTTCTTGATACTATAACTATCATGACTATGTACAAAGCAATTGCCCCATATCTACTGAATGGTCTTTGCTTCTTCCTTTCTCCCGATTACAGGTATCAGGGAAAGCCTTCCAAATGGCTTTTCGGGATAGGAAAATACCGTTTAACATTCATGGTGTGGCATTTTACAGAAAAAAGGTATTGGTTTTCCTAATTAAGATAAAAGAGTGTTCATTTCTTGGAATTTTAATTCACTAATGTAGAACTTTGAATCATTTCACGCCCTTCCACTACCAGTTACGGCTTATTGTACTACATAGATTGTTAACTATTGTAAACAATGATCTTCCATTTCAATGTAATCCTTTAATTGTAGACTATAGTTGTTTTCTCTCCCTTGAAAGTTAAATCAGTGGTAGACTAATTACTTCTCATCTACCAGTTTTGGTTGTGTTAGGTGTGCTTCCATCAATTTATGTTCCACAATGAAATAAACTAAAATACAGACAGAGCATATAATGCTTCTGCAAGTGTTATAAAAGTCGGCCGGAATAAGTTAATGGATTGGTTATGCATTAGAACAGTTAAAAATTGGTTTGTCGTAGTTGGTTTTTGTTAGAATATTATAAAATATCTTATAATATCTTTAGATTAATTTAGAGTATCCTAGAATATCTCTATGTCAAATTTTAGAGTATCCTACTTATTATTATTGAAAGAGAGAAAAATGAAAAAATACGAGAGGCATATGGTTAAACGATGTGATTGAAAGAGTTGTCAATAGCGGGCGCTCCGACCGCTATAGCGGCGCACCGTAGCGGTGCGGCACCCCCCCGCGCGCTATTTAGGGTGCGGTAGCGGAGATGAAAAAGCGGCTGCTTCAGCCGCGTTCCCGGGTAGCGGGTAGCGGGAAGTTCCCGGGCGGAGCGGCTCCGGTTCTCTTTTTTTTTTTTAACAATTTTCTGGGCCAAATTACTTAAATGCCTCTGTTTTAAAACAGTTTTTGTTTTCTTTCTCCCTCATTCGCTGTGTTTTATCGTGCCCTAATTCCTCAACTCTCCTACGATTCTGCCGCCATCTCCCTGCAACTCTCCTTCGATTCTTCCTCCATCTCCTTCTGCCATCTCAGGTCATTTCTTCTAATTCTTCAACTTATTCTACTTCAACTTATTCTACTTCTTTTCTTTCTACCTTCTACTTCTTCTATTTTTGTTTTGTTGTAAACACCGTTTCTTTCTATTTTGAAGAAGTTGAAGATGAAGAATTGGAGAAATATGAAGAAAATGAAGAATTGGAGGAATATTTTGATGATGCTACATGATTTCTATGTTTGCTTGAATTTTCATATGATAGTACTAAGTTTGAATTTGAATCTTTATGTTTTGAATCTTGATTAAGCATTGTTCTTGGTTTGACATTAGATTTTATAAATATTTTATGAGTGTTGTAAAATTAGTTTAGTATTACATGACATATGTTTTATAGATTATTATATAATTATTAGTATATAAAAAGTTATTCCGCTATCCGGGATCCCGCTATTCCCACTTTTCCCATTCCCGGGGGTCGGCCGCTCCGCTCCGCTATCCGGGATTAATAACTCTGGATTGAATACATGTGTAAGTAGTCCGTTGACCTTAACGAGATTTGGCAGTGATATGTTCTAGTTCTGTGTTGATGTTCACAAGCTCTTGAAAGTTGTATGTTTGTTCTTAGAATTTGGGTTGGGCCTAACTAAATCGTACAAAACCTTGTAAGGTGAGGATTGTCCCGACTTATAAATATATGCTCAAGCCATCTCTCATCCAATGTGAGACTCATAACACCTCCCCCATCATGTTTAGTACATGACATCTAGATCGTGACCCGAGTGACCTGATAGTGGAAACCTGATAGTAGGTAACCCAACAGATCTTGAATAACTCTGATACCATCTTAAAATTTGGGTTGAGAGTAACTCAACCTTACAAAACGACTTGTTAGGCGAGTACTACCCACAATTATTAATATAGCCATGTCTCATCCAATATAGAACTCTTAACATTTATAATCTTACAACTATCTTATCTGCAAATTCTTGTATCTTTACCTTCGCATATATGCCATAAGTTCATACCTTGTCCCTTCTTATAATAGGTAGTCAAAACTATCATTGCTATGCTTCGAACAGCACTGCCTGGGTGTGATGATGACTCATATAGTAGAGTCTTCAAGGCTTTACTTCCTTTCGAGAAGGATATGAAAAAGAGGGTACAAGTTTTATAATGATTTTCAGTTTGGACATGCACAAGGGAACATATAGCCATGGCGGCTTCCTATCTTTTTAATTTTAAGTTATCCTTTCAGCATTCATGTTTCATAACAGGGCTTATATCTGCAGGTAATTGACCATATCAGCAAAATTTCAACTAATAGAAAATGCAGTTTCTTATCAGCTGCCTGTGACATCTTTAATGCAAAGATTTCTGGTACTTTTAAAAGGTGGTTAACTTATTCGTCCTTAAATGTTTTATCATGTTATATTGAAATGTATGTGTAATATTTTATTAGTATTGAACCCCCACTTCAACCAATGATATATGCAAAATATTCTGGATATGTTGTATAAGATTCTCAATTAAGTAGCTTAGTGTAACAGACCTTAGTCCTAACTAATTTACTGTTTCTGTAGGAAGCCTTCAGGTAACTATATACCTCTAATGTGTAATCTAAGTATGATAATCAGAGTATCGATTTTTTTTTATCTAGCTGCATAATGCGTTGAAATTGAGGCCTCTACACATTCATTGCCTTGGGAAAGCCCTATTTCACTGTCTGTGATCTTTGTTCCAGCGCCGACAAACCCATTGCAAGCCATTCCATCCGGCTCAATATTGCACTACCAAACATCACCATTTCTCAATCCATGCCGATCAATCTCCCACACTTTTGAGAAATTAGATAATAAAATTTCCACCTGCGGAAGCAGCAGGTGGAACCAGTTATTAGAGGTCACAGGCTTCACCATTTCGTTGTTAATCCTGCAAGCTCTCTGAGTTTCTTTACTGAAGAGATACATAGGTGAAAACAGTCGCAGTCGTACACAGTTTACTTGGAAAAATATCTATAGTACTATTTATTATTTAGATTCACAAAATTTGTGCTCGGAGTTTGGATGTATCTAGTTTTACATTTTGATTTATTTTGTAGTAGTGCCTGCTTTTTTTAAAACTTATGGCTTCATTGGCTTATTATGTTACCATGTGAAGAATGCCTGTGAAGCCATTTTATATACATATCTCTTTATTCTTGTACTATTTTTTTGTAGTATTATAAACTAATTGATACTGACTTTCGTCACTCTCATGGACCATAGGAGTGAGCTTACCCACGGAAGGAAGACTTTAATGACACTTGAGATCATATCAAAACTTGTTCACAGGGTAAATGCTTTCTGTACACTTTGACTACTGATGTTATTTGTGTTTATTGGTAAGAAAATATACCATGGTGAGGTGACATCTGACCTTTCAATTTTTCATATATATGTGGTAAACATTGAATCAAAGAAGGAGTGTTCAATATAATAAGAGATGGTAGGTGCAAATATTTACCATTGGATCTTACATTAATGATTTTCTTAATCAAAAGACCCCCATTAAAAGTTTCATGGCTAACATGAGTCTGACTACTTTAAACATAGAAAGTCACCTAACCTTTTTGTGGGATTTTGGGAAAAATAGAGAGGTGGTATAGGAAACATAAGTTGAAAGCATAAAAAAAGGAATTTATGGTTTTACTAAACAGTTGGTTTCTAATTAATCTCACTGGTGTTTATCAGTTCGTATAGCTAACTTACTAGTCAGACTATTGTCTTTCTACCTTCCTTTTCTCATAGTTGTTGGTTTTATCTTGAACTTCATAAGAGAAGATGTTTTATCCTTGGAATTGGATCTCCTTTGATTTTTGAATACTAAATCACGGTTCTATGAGATAGAAGAAATCAGATTTTGTCATACAATGACTTATTTTAAGTTATTCTAGGGTCCACTAGTTATATTTTAAATTGTTGAATTAGTAGAGACTAAGACACATTTAGGTTAAACCGTGTGTTTTGAAAAACAATACGAAGACTTTATTATATATAGAGAGATTACAACTAATGCTATGATATAGTCGATGTGGGACTATTCTACACACACATATATATATATATATATATATATATATATATATATATATATATATATATATATATATATATATATATATATATATATATATATATATATATATATATATATATATATATATATATATATATATAATTATTTCTTTTTGCCTCTAGAGGTAGAGGAAGACCTAGAAAAACTATAAGAGAAGTTGTTAAGAAAGATCTCGAGATTAACATTTTGGATAGATGTATGATCCTGGACAAAACATTATGGCGGAAGTTGATTCATATAGCCGACCCCACTTAGTGGAATAAGACTTGCTTCTTGTCGTTGTATTTCTTTTTGCCTCTCAAATGTAGTTATATAGACTTCAGACTTTACCCAAAAAAACAGTCATGTTGTTTTTCCCTTCACCAGAGGTAATCCTATTCAAGCTGCGTTGGCAACTAAATTTGGGTGCCTCTCTCATTCAGGACTCGAACCTTGGTTCGCCATGTTGTGAGTCTAGCCCCTTCTGCTAGATCCAACCTCCTCCATTGGTAATAGTCATATATATTGGCAATGGAAAAAGTTTAACACAATCATATCTCAACGTGCAAAGCGAAACTATGCTGAATATGGTTTTATGTCCGTGTAAAACTTGAATACATCTGGTGTACATCCATTAAATTTTATGAATATTTTTATTCTTATATTCCTCTTCCTTAATAGTATATGCCGTAAATGAAATGCAACATAACTTACTTTTTTAGTCCTAATCATTTCTGCAATATTCAAGGCTTATAATGGACTTTTTTCAAATCTTCCAATAAATACTTTTCTCACTTGAAATGCATGCCATATTTATTTATGACAGGAAAATTCAATTTCAACTATCATAACTTCTGTGGCAAACATGATACCTGAGGTTTGTCTTACCTCTCACTTGGACTTTGACTCTAAACAACTACTGTATTTACCCACCATGGAGTTAGTTTTTTCTTATAATTGTATGATCAACTTAATTGTGTTGTTGGAAGAGGTGACAGTTCAGAGGTAAGGTCTTGACTTTTTAACCTCAATGGACATGGTTCAAATCCCACCTTTATAATAATTGTAAAATGGTCATTACCGTGTCACCGTTATTAATAATAAGTTTCCTTCACAATTACCGTGTTGGTTGAGCATATTTTTGTTTAGTTTTTAACTGTATGTTTATGTTTAGATTTCGTAGCTCTAAGAAGCACTCTTGAGAATGTACCTATCAACTATATAATTGTTTTATGTATGATCCAGCAATATTATGTTTAGATTAATTTGGAGATAAACAAATTAAGTTTTAAATACACATTCATAAAGTAAAATAAGTTATATTATTTTCTAAAAATTGTTCCATACAATGTCATGATATATTTACTGTTATGTGAACTTTGAATTTTAGAAGTACCTTCTTGAGCAACGGGCAACTGTTGATGTTGATGGAGGGACATTGTTGAATGAAGACTATGACATCAGATCTGTAAGTTTTTGATGCAAGATAAAACCTTAGTTACTATTAGGCTCAATTTAAAATTTAAAAAAGAGCATTTAATGTTTGGTAGAAGATGTTCCAAAATTATGATTATAATTTGAAGTGTATGTCTTTTGATTTTTATTGTAGTTCTTTTTACCTAGGCTTTCTTCATCTGAGATTGAATACCTTTTATTCAGGTTCTTCAATACCTATTAGATGATGTATCTGAGTTTTTGTCTACCAAATTCATTGAGGTAAGAGGGGAAAAGGAAATGTCAGAAGATAAAGGCGGCATTTTTGTGCTAAAATCATTCATTGATTATTTATTTGAGCGTGAGAAAGAAAATTTCCGTGCTCGGAGGAAGGACAATGATAATTCTGTGACATTGACAACCATTCATCAGGTAACTATCCCACTTGATTAGTATTTAATTTAATGGAGTTAAGCTCAACAGCTTGATAAGTATTTAGTAGAGTTAAACTCAACAGTAATGCAAGTTCAAACTCATTTGACCTGTAGGCAAAAGGTTTAGAGTGGGACATTGTCTTCATAGTTAAGGTATGCCTTAATATTTAGAGCATTTCTTTTTTGTCTAGCTCAAAAGCAAGTTGGTGAATATGTGATTCCTGATGTTTTTGAAACACAGATGCTCAGATGTCTATACCTATTTATTGATTCATATTATCCTTAGACAAATATATGGCCAACAATTAGGGTATGTTTGGTTGTAAAGAGAAAGTGAAAGGAAAGGTAGAGAAAAAGCGAAAAATAAACTAGATTTGACAGATTGTTTTGTAAATAAGAAAAATTAAAGCAATAGAAGAGAAAGATGCATGTTTAATTTTGAGAAGACAGCAATATCCTTGGGCTAAAAAATCAAACTACTCCCTTTCGTCCTATATATTAAAAGAAAAAAAAGCATCAATACCAAAGTAAGCTATTTAATATTTTAATTTTGAAAGGTTATTCCAAATATAACCACGACAATGACATAGATGTTATACACCCACCAACTATGGAAATAGATTATAGATATACTTAATAAGGATATAAAAAGGAACTTTAGCAATTAATGCATCTTAAGGTTGTGATTTTTTAATATAAATAGGACCAAGAAAATCACCAATTGTTTTCTTATAAATAGGACTAGGACTGGAGGTAAAATTTGTTTTTTTGTCTAGGTAAAATTTGAATTTTATACCATATAAAATTGACTTAAATTTTTTATTTATTTAATTGAGAAATTAAATTACTTGACTAGTTTATTTTAATTTACATAACTAATAAGAAATTCAAATGATTATATAATTTCAACCGTAAGTTTATTGAATTAATTTATTACATCAGTTTAATATAATTAACTTATTATTTTTGGATTTTGTTAATAATTAAAATAGCTTAATTAAATTTTTATAAAATGGTGGATATTGTTCAATTCATGCTAATCTCCAATTGAAATTTACTTTTTTCATTGTTCAATTTGAGCAAAATACTAGAATTTTTTTCATAACTCACACTATTATTACTGAATGATATACACTACTTGATTTATTTATAAAAATTTGGCTATTGTATAGGGAGAAAAAAATGTAAACCCAATGAAGATAAACAGGACCGGGATCAAATGAAACAAAAAACAGAGGTAGCCAATCCAGGGTGTAGATTGAAAGTAGAAAATAATAGCATCTCATCTCTCCTTCACTATATAAGAGAGAAGATTATGAAAAGCTGTGGGACCCACACTTTTATCTCTCTCCTCTCAACCTCTTTTCAAACCAAACTAGAGAAAATCAGCCCTTCTCTTCTAATTATCTCCATTGACACTCTAATGCTCTTGTATCAAACACACCCTTATGCCTCATTAAGCTGCAACATGATCATGCAGTTTCTTATTGGAAGTCACAATATAATATTAGTGAAAAAATTATAAACTTCTGTGAAATTATATTTTAAATAAACTAATTGAAGATTCAGTTGTACAATTACCAAATGTTGCATTTCACATAACAGTAGATATATTTTTTTGTGATCTGAATATTCTATTTGATTACTTTGTTCATGAATGGTAATTCCTTGCCTCTTTAACACGTTTTCTAATGTTATTCAAAGACGTTGTTCCGATATTACTCTCCCGTTCATTTTTAAGTGTCACTTTTGTGTAAAATTTTTGTTTCTTTTTAACTGTTGTTTTCACAGTTCAAAGTAGCATTAATTGTCGTTTTTGTCAAAGTCATCCCTAGTTATTTATTACAAAGAGAGAAAAAGTTAAACCCAAACCAAAAAAAAAAGAGAGAGAAAAAGTCAAATGAATTAATAAATACAGTTAAAGGTATTATGGGTAAGAAGACAATTATTACTTGAGAATACGTAAATTTATTAGCTTTATTGATATGTGCAAAAAAATAAAAAAAGGAACGGAGGGATTACTTATGTGGTATTTTAAAATTTTATGGCTTGCATTTACACCCGGTTAACCAAGTCTTACAGTTCAGAAGTCCAATTGCAATTTGACTACCTTGTTGGAGGGTCATTATTTCTTGGTTTGTTCAAATTTATTATGAAAACAAGTATTGCCTTAAAGTCTTCAGTGCTGTTTTGGTATATTAAACAGGCAAATGAATCTGAGATTCCTCTATTACATGAATACAAAGGTGTTGTGAAGGACACCGCGGCCATAGTTGAGGTACATTATTCTTCTATAATTTTATTCATAAGTTCATTTTTTGTCTTGTAGTTTGCTATAGACTGGTTATTGATTATGTCTCTTTTTTATATGATTATAAGGAAGAAAGACGTTTACTATATGTTGCAATGACTCGTGCTCGGCAGAAGCTTTTTATTCTCTATGTTACGGTGGACTCAAATTGGCAGGTTTGTCCAGCATAATTTTCAGCTCTTTTTATAGCTGTTGGATTTTTCTAACTTTGTGTGTCTCTAGATGCTTCAACCTTCCCGATTTCTGAAAGAAATCCCTCATCAACTTCTAGAGTTTCAGGTATGTCACACTGCCTTTTTATAAACACCTATTGGAAGTGTAATTAATGTACGCATTTTGTGTATCTATTACTAAATTATCCTTTGTGTATAGACATATTCATTATTGATTTGTCTTATTCAAAGACAAATTAGTAGTATTAATTCAGGTTATATTTGGAAGAAATAATTAAATGCACCTAGTAATTTAAAAGAGGGCTTATATTGAGTGACAAGTTTCTTTCTCAAATGGTGCTTATAATTAGAGATGGAGGGAGCATTATCTTTGAATATCTTAGTTTATCTCGTAGGGTCAGTTTCTAATTTTTGAGAATCTTAAGTTATCTCTTAGGATTAGCTTACATATTACTTAGTCATTATTTTGATTTGGTACCTGTTTTTTCTATTTATTTAGGATTATGAGTCTTGTATTCCTTATAAACAGGTGATAGTGTTTAGTCATTTGTATCAAGTTACCATATCGAATAATAATATTACTTCATATTTTATCTAAGGCCCATTACTTAGACATGAATGTTTACAAGTTGTGAGTCAGTGAATAGTATATTCTTGTGTAGGGTGAAATAAATATGCAAGAACTACAAATAAAGCGAGAAGGTCATCAAAAGGAAACTACCAATTGTACCACTGATTTGTTGATTAAAAAGCAACAATCTGAGGCTGATCTGGTCCCTGTGCCAAATGACTTGCTCAACTATCATTTTAGTGAGGCTTCCAATGAGCTTGCAGAGTTTGCAGAGGCGAACAATGGCAATGATTTCATAAGAAGGTTTCTCTTTTTATTTTGACAATTATATTACTATTGCACGTTAATGATCTCAGCCATGCTTAATTTTGAAAAATTGTTTTGAATCATAATATATTTGTTACTTTGCAGATTCAATGTAGAAGAGAGATCTGTTGTTTCCCATATATTCCATAAATGGGCCAAAAAGAAAGCATTTCAAGATCCAAAGAGGTTGCTAGATAAGGTGACTCTATAGTTGTACTGGGCTTACCTGTGTACGAGTGTGACATATTAATCTTGATCATTCATTGCCAAGTATGGATTCTTAGGATTATGAGTTATTATTAAAATGAAAAATGTAGCAGATTATGGTGAAATGTTTTTTTATAAAAAAAAATATTCTAACTTTTTAGCAGATGCACTTCTTTTAGACAAGGTTGTCAACATGTATGTAAAGTTGTGAAATCTCCATTACATGGATTGGGAATCCTTCTAAAATGTTACGAGAAAAAAGTGAAAAAAGTAGAAAAAGATGAAAAGATTGGATCAAAGAGGGTCATCGGTTCCTTTAAATATCTGACAAAGCATCTATTACAAAATGCATATGGAAGTAAAGCAATTTTTGTGCCCAAGAAATATCCTGTTTGTACTACTGGTAAATCCTTCAGAGAAGTGCTGGAACTCAATAACTAACTGAGACAGCGAGACTCATGTGGATTTTCTTATTGTTGGGAATTATAAACTAATTGAATTGCTAAAAAAAAAACTAATTGAATTGATCAAGTCCCTTATATTTGAGTTTGTGGAAATAAATAATGCTTGAAGTTCTGTTCAGCTCTCTAAGTTATAATAGTAAAGTATAAATAATTCGGTCTATCTTGAATATAATTAGTGGGGAATGCTAATGAGGTATTTCACAAATATTGTGCAGGAATATTATTAAATTTGCTTGTTTGAAACTAAGGTTTTTTCCTATTGGATGTTCAGGTTGGTTTTGTAATTGATGAACGCCTTAGACAGAAGAAGAACAAACACAAGGTCTGCGGTATCATATCACTCTGTATTGCTTGTTTTATGTTACACATCATTCTTTTGAACGTTTATATTTTTTTCACATTAACAAATTCTCACTTATATGGAATGGTTCTAATGGATTCATTCATGTATTCTTGGTCATTATTTATAGTGAAGTGAATGTGCATATTATTGTTTGGTTGTGTTGAGTATTTCCAACATTAAAAATGTTAAGAAAATATCCTATTCCTTCACCCATATTAGACTATGCTTTAGATTGCAATCCTAGCGTGATGGATATGTTGCGTTTCCCACATTGAATAGAGATATTGCCTAAGTAGGGCTTATAAGGCTTGGCTAAACCCTAAGCCCTAAACCTAAATATTAGGGATGGGCTAAACCCTAAACCCTAACCTTACAAATCAATTTTGTAGGGATGGGATAAACCCTAGGCCCAAATATTAGGATTGTATCACAGTCTATCCTAGACTTGTAAATGAGCCAAAATATATCTAGTCCTAGACGTGTAGAGGGTGTTGAGAATTGAGATCCCTGTTATTTCTCCAGCACTAGTCCACACTTTAGATGTGTAGTCCTGAGTGTGAGGGCTTGTTGAACCTATCCTCGAATTTTTGTTGGGCTATATTCTATGTTATTACATCACATTTCTAGACTTCAGATGTTTTTTCTGGACGTGATAAGGTGTGTTGAGAATCTCACATTTGACTAGCAAGGCCTTGGTAGTGTTTAAAAGACTTGGACAATTATCACCTTACCAGCCATTTCTGTTAGGTTGAGTGGGACCAAAGTTCAAAGAAAATGCATTTGACTTGAAATGGTGTCGGTCGTTATTTCATATACAGTGATTAAAGGGTTCAGGCCTCTATAAAAAAAGGTTCCAAGTGCATATGCTGATTAACATATTCATTTTCTAAATTTTCTTGTACAAACAAAATATAATTTTTCTTTCTCCGCCTTACTAGACAAGCAGTTTTATTTATTGACACCAGTTTGTCAAATATTGTCCCCATTACTTCTCTTGATATATATTATGCAACCTCTTATAACTTAACCTCCTTTGTTGTGAATTTATGGCAAGTGATCATTAGTCCTTTCAAATGACTTATTTGTAATTGCAATTTCAGGATTTGTTGAATTCTCTAAAATCCTGCTTAAGGTGTGACGAAGCAACGCAGTATGCTCAATATGTAAGTGCCTTTACTTGTTGCTAAAGCCAAATGTTGTTTCGTTTTTGAGATACGGGGGATCAATAGATTTTAGAGGAAATGGAACTTCTGTCATACCCTGTTGAAATTTCTGCTTGTAGGTATTGAGATGGGAACAAATTCCAGCTGATAAACGTGCTCATCTGATGAGGGAAAAACAGGTTAGCTGTGCTTTCTCTGTTCAGTAGTTATCATTTAGAATTTTTTGGGATCTGTTAGAATATTAGCATTGTTACTGATTTATCTATTTAACGGCGCGTTAGTGATCTTGTACTTGTACTAGTAATACTAAACTAGTACATGTCTGATATTAACAAAATAACCGTTTAGAAATCTTTTCTAATGTTATACTCCCTCTCACAATGAGTAACACATTTGTTTATTTCACACATGTGATAGTGGATTGTGACACAATGCTTTTGACCCCTCCAAACTATTCAAAACATTTGTACAGCTTTTCCAGCTCTAAGGTGTTTACACAATTTTGGTTTGTGGGTTTATTTGTGAACCTGCGCCATGAGTTTCCTTTTTATTCTAATAATCCAGTTGAGACTTGAAAATATGTTCTGCATTTTTCAGGAGCATTTCTTGAAATTAAAGATGGAGAATGCAATGGGTTCGGCTGCACCAACTGATAAGCAGGTAAAATTTCACAGTGAAAGGACATATTAGGCCTTTCATATTTAATATTTATGGTTCATTCTTTTCTTGTGCACAGTTAATCAAAGTTTAGTTATAAAGTTACTCAGCTTAAGTTCATAGAAATACCAATGAATTGTTTTTGACTTATTGCAGCTCTCGTATTTGAAGAAATTGGGGTGCACCGTGACCCCTACATCTCGCCTTCATGCATCTCAACTTATTGAGCAATACAAATCATTGTAACAAATTGTGATAATTAATAATCTAACTAAAGTTAAATTTTGCCAACTTCTGTATGGAACAATTAATTTATGTCAATTATCAATTTGTTTTTATTTATATTTTGCAAACGTACTCCATTGAAACTTATTTTGGATGCTTATTTTATCAGGTAGTTAAGCTTCGGTTGTAATTTCAAATGATTTTATTCAAATTATGTCCTGAGACACATGTTAAAAAACTATAAATATAAAGTTTGTGTTTAAAGAGTAAATAAAATAATTATTTATAGACTTTTTTTTAATCAAATTAATACACAATTTTGAAATACAAAGTTTCTACTTTCAACATAAATTTTCCATTTATGAGTTTGTTAACCTGTGCCCTTGGGATCACAAGTTAGCAAATGTTATTATTAATCAGTTGAAAAGAAATCCATACCGATTTGATTTTTAAGCTGTGATGTTGGGTTATCTAAGCTCATTAGAAAAATATGTAAACCAATTAAAAAAGAATAAAAAATTGGATTTAATATACGTCACTATGCTAATATAGTGAATTTTACTTTTATCTCTTGAAGTATTTTTTTTTTTATGTCAAATCCAGATTTTATTTTCAAAGACCCTTGATCAACTATATGTCATAGAATTTTCATATGTGGCGTATAATGAATGCTGACTGGATAAAATATATGTTAAACCTTTGCCACGTAATATATAATTTAAAAATCAATTCAAAAATGCAATCTATTCTTATTTATCCACGTGAAAAATCTAGGTCATAAAATTAGGGATTTCTCTCGAGAATAGTAAGTGAGAAGACAAATGAAACACATCAGAGAAGACAAACTCATGGTGGAGGGCGGCCAAGACGCAGACGCAATGTCACCAGTAAGTTTGTTTAGACTTCTTTCTTACTTGTATCAACATGCACATGTAATTTCTTGGAGTTAGTTGGTATTCCTTGTAGGCACGCTGTTGCATCATTAGGATTTAGGCAACAAAATTCAGAACAGTTTGTTGATGAATGTTATTCAAAGAAAAAAAATGCCCTTTCTTATGGGTTTGTTGTGAGCCCCATTAATAGGAAAGAAATGTGGCTTGAAGTAGAAAGTGAAGAGCTACTACCTCCTAAGTTTAAAAAGGGTCTTGGTAGACTAAGGACATTAAGGATCAGAGAGTGTGGAGAGAGTGTGGTGAAGAAGGTGCTAGAAGAAGATTGCTTGATGTATCTTATATGTGTACTAGGTGTGATAAAATTGGACACAATGTTCAGTCATGCAAAAGCAAAGAACAAGATCCAAATGCCTTGAGAAGAAAGGTAGAGTTGTTTATTTGTACTTAGTGTATTTTAGTTTCTTTGTTCTATGTGTATTATTTGGACTGAGACTGTATGTCACTTGGATGTATTTTTCAGGAAAAAAATGGAGACCGATGCAGGCACTAGTGCAACCACAAATGTTGGACAAACTGATGTTGTGCAAACTGATGCTGAGCAAACTGATGTTTTGCAAACTGATGTTGTGCAAACTGATGCTATACAAATTGATGTTGTGCAAACTGATGTGCAAACTAGTGTATTACAATCTGATCCTATACAATCTGATCCTATACAATCTGATGCAACACAAACGGATGATGCATAAGCAGGATTGATTGGGGATATTTTTGATGAGATAATGTCAACCTTGCCTGACATCAACACATTAAATCCAACAACTAGCATGAGCTCACCAAGTATTAAATGGAAAGGCAAGACTAAAGTCAAACAACAAGCCAAACCAATGAGAAAGAGGTCAAGCGAGCGAGTTAAATTGAAATGGTTTCAAAAACCAATAATAGGTCCTAGTTCAGACCCATACCAACCTATGTATTTAATTGAAGAAGAAGATGGTATTCTTACCCAAGAACGAAATGTAACTCAACATACAAAGAAGCCTACAAAGAAGACTACAAAGAATACTACAAAGAAGACTATAAAGAACTAATACACATTTTTTGTGCAAATTTGTAATGACTTTAATGCACTTTATTAGAATCTTTTGTAATGACTGAAACACACTCTTGGTGTAAATTTGTAATGACTAATTCACTTTAATACTGTCATTTTGTAAGAACTAATGCACACTTTTTGTGCAATCTTATGACTTTAATGCACACTTTAGGTGCAATCTTTTAATCAACTTATGAATTAGACATATCAAAACAGTATATCACAAACATTGATTGACAGAAAATTCAAACATTTCATTAATACAAAGCATTTTACATATAATTTTATAATCACCAACATCCCACAAAAAAAGATCAGAGTTATTTCCATAAAAATACATCAAACCAATCTAATTACATAAACTTGAACAACATCGCAATCATAAACTAAAATATCACAAGTTTCATCTTCAACGTCAAAAGAATCTTCTCTGAACTTCAACCTTTGTCTTTTCCTTTTCTAACTTCTTCAATGTCGTTTCCAATTTCACACCTCCTAATGCACACTTTTGACAACATAGCTGACTCTTGCAATTCACCTTCAAAGACTCTTCAATTTCATCATCCCACAAAAAAAGATCACGACTATTCTCATTATACAAGCACAAACAACATTTATACATCTGTTAACAACTTATACATCTTTGTTAACAACATATACGAAAACAACTTTCTTATCCCTGCATGTTTTAAACTGTGTTGGAGAACCACATCTTCATTGCACGATCGCATCCACATCTGAGTAACTTTGAAAATTCGACGGAAGGTGTGTTGCTGCTTGAAAATGAATTGCTTCCAACCATATCGTACCAACTAGAATTTCATACCAACGGGAAAATTAAATTGCAAGAGAAGAGATGAACGGTGTTGAAGAGAAGAATGAAAGAAAAAAGCTCTCTTTTGAGGTTGAAGATGAACGCATGCCTACAACAAATCCTATTTTATAGATTTTTTTTGAAATATCAGATTATGTGACATTAAATTATCCAGTCGGCATTCATTAAATGCCATATAGGAAAATTTCGTGACATATAGTGGATCAAGGGTCTTTGAAAATGGAATTTGAGTTTAGTAAGAAGGGGGTCACAAAAAATATACTTTAGAGAGATAAAAGCAAAACTCACTATATTGACAGAGGGTGACGTATATTAAACCCTAAAAAATTTGTATAAAATAAAATATGATTAAATGTATTTGAATATTATTTTATAAAAATTGCTCCAATGTTCCTATTTTTTAAAATCAAAGCAAACTGTTTTAGTTTTATATGTTAATATGATATATTATACTAATCTATTATCAGTATTATTTTTGGGTTTAACTTTATAAATCAATAACTTTTTAATTTAATAATAATAAAATTTTATTGTTTTAAACATATACTATCATTCTGTCTTTGAATATTGATAGATTTTTATTATAATTTTAATTTAGGTATTCAAAATTTTATTTAAATTAAATTGTGCTAAATAAATCAGATTTTTTAAATGAACCATTTAAACTAAATTTAACTATATATAATTTTTTTCTTTTTAAATTAATATTCAAATTGCACTACATATACACCTTTAAATAATATAGTATTGATTTACTAGTTGCTATCCAATGATGATGGGTGATTTCTTTGAATAAAAATAAATGGAAAGTGCACTCCACGTCTTCGAAAATTAAAAAATAGCACCAACCTTAATATTTTAGTCAGTTATTTCATTTTTGTCGAAATTTATTTTGGAGATGTATTTTCGGATGTACTTAAAATAACACTAGCCCTCGTATTTTAGTCTGCCACCTCATATTTGTCAAAATCTATTTCGAAGATGTATCTTCGTATATTATTTTGGGTGAATTCCAATATGCATCTCTGTAAAACTCCTGTACTCATTTAGAATGTTTTTATTCACTGAAATAATTTATTTATTAGCTAAGTGATGATTTCAGAGATGCATAATCGGAAATATCAAGCGGAAAATTGAATAAAACATCACCTTGCATGTTCTTCTTCCTCATGACCAAACTCAACTTCACTCTCAAAACTCTTAAAAAAGTTTCTTCCACTCTCAATCAACTTTCAACACAAAAACATCATTCTTGAATTTTATCACATCAAATGGAACAAAATAAGCTGTAATTTAAGGTAAAGTTCATTAATTTCATCTCTCATTCCTCGCATTAATCTGGTTTTTGAACGGAAAAAAAGAACGTTGAGTCCAAAGATGCATATCTGGACTAAGATTCATGTGTTTCGAAGATCCATCTCCGAATTTTCCTGATACTTTTGAGTTTTTTTTAAATCGTTTTTCCTGTTATGATTTGTATTATATATGTTGCTCTCATATATGTTTCTCAAAGCTACTGTGAGGATGTATGTTAAACCGAATGGAGTGAAAGATGATGTTAAATCGAATGAAGTGAAGGATGTTGTTAAACCGAATGAAGTAAAGTGTGATGTTAAACGGGATGCTATACCAGTTGCTGTCGAGGTAGATGTTCATGAACAATTTACAAATTAACAAGAGTTTATTGTACATGATCATATGCTACAATGGATCCGCATGTAGGCTGAGAAATTGGGGTTTGATAGTGTAATCAGAAGGCCTAACAATAGTTCTGATAGAAGACAAACATTTATAACAATGAGATGCGAAAGAAATGGCACATACCAACCACCGATTAGGAAGTTGAAACGTGATGACACTGGATCGAGAAAATGTGAGTTTCTGTTTAAATTATGCAGATACCGTAAGGCGAAGGATACATGGAAATTTAATATGGTTTCTAGTATACATAATCATGCCTTGAGTGACAAACTAATCAATGGTGAAGATGGAAAAATGGTCAAATTTGGCGTGGTGTTGGAAAATATATTGGATGCATGAAATGGTATAGTAAATTCTTTCACAGAAGAGTTATATGCTGAATCTATAAAATATTTTAGGAGGGAGTGTGTGAGATATCCAGATTTCCTGAAATATATTGAGAGTACTATTTTGGACAAAGTGAAGGAGAAGATTGTTTGTTCTTGGACCGATTATG